TGAGAACTCATTGTATATTGTGGAACTTCATACTTTATTGCAGACGTGGGCGCAAAAATATTTTCCCCTAGTTTTTCTTTTGACTTAGTTTATGATTTTGAATGTAATTTTTAAATGTTTCATCAAATTAAACCATCATTTATGTCTTCTGGATTGTGGGTCATATCTTGAAAAGACTTTCCGTCTTAAAGATTATTATAGAATTCCTCCTGTTTTATTCTAGCATTCCTGTGCCTTTATTTTAAGTATTTTAATATTTGAGCTATCTGAATTTATTTTGTAAAGAATGACTTCCAATGTATTAAATGTGGTTCTCAAGTTTTTACAGTATGTGGAATAACCCATCTTTTCCTCATTGATGTAAAATGCCGTATTTTTCATATATTAAACTCCCATATGTATTTAGATCTATATCTGGACTTTTTGTCCTGTTACATCTACAGTTTTCTACTAGTCCAGCCATATATAAATACCACACTTTCAAAATCACGGTAACTTTATCTGTTTTCAAACCTTAAACACCTCTCTGTCTTCCTTTCCCTCCTTCCCTCTCTCTTTCTCTTTCTCTCTCTCTCTCACACACACACACACACACACGTTTATTCATGTTTCTTGAATCCCACACCCTTTCTCATCAAGTATATCATGTAGTTCTTCCAGTGTGAATGAGAATGGAGAAACCTCCTTGTCCATCTTTGTCTTAAAAAGTCTTTATTTCCCCCTCAGTCTTGATTGATATTTTGGCTAGTGTGGTAGCTATTTTGATTGGCTTTCTTAAGCCACATCGTAACCCTCCTTCTGTTTGGTGGGGTCAGAAACAACACGATTCCCCTGCTGTCAGGGTGTGGCTGTGAATGTCTTCCAGCAATTAGATGCACTCGCCTAGGACCTGAAAAGTGGAAGGGAGTGGTACCTTTCACTGCAAAGCCAGTGTCTGCGGTGACAGCTCCACACTCCACTGAGCTCCAGTTTCTGGGGGCAGCAGCTGTGGCAGAGGCAGCAGCGATGACAGTAGCCACAGTAGTTCTCTGGTCTCCATATTGTAAGAAATGGAAAAGAATTTAGCAAGGTTGTGGGTACAAAGTCAACCAAGAAAAATGGTTGTGTTTCTACATATAAACAACACGAAGGAAAAATACAACTTACAATAGCATCAGAATATCAAGTACTTAGGACTAAATCTAACAAAAGATGTGCGAGATGTTTATGCAGAAAATGATAAACTGCTATTGAGAGAACTGAAGAAGGCATAAACAAATGTTGAGATACTTTTAGTTTGGAAAACTCAGTATTGTTAAAATGTTATTTCTCCTCAAATTGACCTACAAATTCAATACAATGTCAATCAAAATCCCTACTGTGTTAATTTTTTTCTTTAAGACAATAACAAGCAGACTCTAAAATTTATATGGAAATGGAAAAGGTCAAGAATAGTTAAGACATCCTCACAAAGAACAAGGTGGGAAAATCGCTCCTCCAGCTATCACAGTGTATTGGAAAGCTGAGTATGGTATTGACACAAGAGACAGAACAATGAAGCAGAATCCAAAGCCCAGAAAGAAACCCACATGGATATGAACATTTGATTTGTGACAAAGATGACACTACATTTTAGTCGGGAAAGGACAGTCTTCTCAGTAAATAGTGCTGGAGCAACGGGGTATATCCATTCAGGGGAGGAGAAAGAAGTATGATGCCAATTTCACATCACACAAACAATTCCAAATGGATGGAACCTGAAATCTGAAAATCAACTAAATAAGCCTTGAGTAGGTAGTAATGTAGGGTAATACTTGTGTGACCTCAAATTGAGAAATATTTCTTCATGTGGACATATATACACAAAAAACAATAATCATAAAGGAAAAGGCAGACACATTAAGTCCTTAAAATTTCATCAAAAGTTACCATAAAGAAAATGAAAAATCAAGGTACAGAGTAGGAGGACGACTATTAAAAAAATAAGAAAAGGTCAAAACAGCTCAGTAGAAAAACAGACTTGGTACCTCAAAATAAGCATTTCATAAAAGAAGAGATCCAAATGACCTATGAATATAGGAGATACCCACAAGAATGGTTAATCTAAAACCGCAGTGCCAGCGTTGGTGAAGATATCGAGGAATGGGAGCGTCCAACTGCTCATGGGAATAGAAAGGTGGTAAACCGACTTTAGAAGAAAATATGGCATTATCTACTTGGACTGGAGATAAACGTCCCCCGTTTCCCAGTACTTCTACTCCTATGTATAATCAACATAATTGCGTACACATGGGAACCAGGAGCTGCATTCATAGCATAAGGGCATAGCTGCATTAATAGACCCAAGCTGACAACAACCCAAATGTCTGTCAGCTGTAGAATAGATATATTATAGTATATTCAGACACAGAAATGCTATTTAGCAAGGAAAAGACATGAATTACAACTAGATGCAGCAACATGAATAAATCTCACAGATACAATGTTGAGCAAAAAGAGCCAGACAGAAGAATAAATGCTATACAATTCCATTTATTTAAATTCAAAAACAGGCAAAACTTAAAGTGGTGCCTAGGAATGCATAGTTAGGTTATAAAACTATAAAGAAAAGTGAAGGTGTGATTCCCATAAAAGAGGAGTTAAATTGGGGAGATGGGGTTGTGATTGGGAAGAGCCATGCAGAAGGTTTCTGTGCTGCTGGCAATATTTCATCACTGGTGTTCACTTGATATAATTTATCAAGCTGTATATAGATATTTTTGTGCATTTCCAGATAGTGTATGCTCTATTTCACAACAACAAAAAAATTTAAAGAATATGTGGATTTGTAAAAAAACCAAAGTGAAACTTCTAGACATGAAAAAAACCTAACTATTGAAACAAGAACTCATTAGATCCTCTTCCCATTCCTTTTCCTCTTCCTCTTCTAAACAATTTAATCCAAAACCATGGGGCTGAATGTCTGTGCAGAGGGTAGCCACAGTAAGTCGAGGTGAGTAAGGACTACGTGAGGATAAGTACACAAAGCACTTAACAGTACCTGGAACCTGGTATGTGCTCAGCCCATGGCAGTTAATACTTTTGTTGTTATAGTTGTTACAAAGGAAATGAGAGAGGGCATAGCAGCCACCAACCACATCCTCTGGGCCTCACCTGCATCTGAGGCCTCACTCACTTTGTGTTGACAGTTTCCTGCTTCAAGTGTACAACGCATATCCAACATTTTCTGCCCGGGGCTTTTCAGTGCCCTGGGAGAGATGCCAGTGGAAGCCCACTTGGAATGCCCACATGCACAGCCTAGAAGTGGGGGAAGAAGAGGAGGGTATAGCTCAAGTGGTAGAGTGCATGCTTAGCATGCATGAGGTCCTGGGTTCAATCCCCAGTACCTCCATTAAATAAATAAATCTAATTACCTTCCCCCATGAAAAAAAAAAAAGTGGGGTAAGCATTGCCTCACAGCAGCTCCATGGTGTAGATGTTATTTCTCTCTCTCCTCCTCCTCCCCCACATCTCTTCTAATGAGGAAACTGAAGCCCAGAGAGTTTAAGTAACTTACCCAGAGTCACACAGTTAGTACATGACTAAGCCTGGATTATGCTCAGTCTGACTCCAGAGCCCCTACACTCTTACCCTCTATGATATACCGATTTCCTCCAAATAAATGTATCAACAGAGAAAAGGGGGAAAATATGCTCACGAATGCTGCTTTATGACAACACATTCCTCAGATTCATCTGGACCTGTGTGTGCAGTATCCCTTCCCCCCATGAAGATGCATTCCCATAGCCAGTGCTTCTGCAGTTCTTTGCTGGGATTTAAGTCCCAGTTCAACCACTTACCAAGCTGGGAGTGACCTTGTAAAATAAACTACCCCATCTGAGCCTAAGTTTCCTTACCTGTAAAAGCAAATTGATAATATTGGCCTTGTAGGATGTTACACAGAGTTAGTGTCTAATAGCTGATAGCTATGATTTTTCTAGTCAGAGATCCATTGTTGGGAAGACTGAAGACAGGTTCAGGCACCCCCCCTCAAGAAGAGCCAAGCAGAAAAATTGGGGCCAAGTTATTTTGTTTGTCTGGAAGCCCAGAAATGTCTCCTGGTTTTTATTGGACTTTACTTATAACTCCTAGGTTGAGAGATTCAAACCAGAAATTATTTTGTCCCCTGTAGTAGGCTGAATGGTGGTTCCCCCAAAAGATAAGTTGTAACTCCTGGAACCTATGACTATCACCTTAATTTGGAAAAAGGGTCTTTGCAGATGTAATGAAGTTAAGGATCTCAAAATGAGGCCACCCTGGATTATCTGGGTGGTTCCTAAATCTGCTGACCAGCATCTTTATAGGAGAAAGGCAGAGGGAGAGAAGGCCATGTGAAGAAAAGGCAGAGACTGGAGTGATGCTGCCGCAAGCCAAGAAGCACCAGAAGCCACCAGAAACTGGAAGAGGCAAGCAAGACTTCTCCCCCAGAGCCTTCAGAGGGAGCACAGCCCTGCTGACACCTTGGTTTTAGATTTCTGGCCTCTGGAACTATGAGAAAATAAATTTCTGTTTAAGCTGCCATTTTGTGGTAATTTATTACCACAGTCCCAGGAAACGAGCCCATTCTCTCTATTCCCACAACTCAACCTTGGGCTGTCCTCTGTCCACAGAACACTGATGGGAAATGCATCACATAAAGGCACACCTTTGACAATGAGCTAAATCTTGAGGACTGAGAACGTCCACGGAAATCAATATAAATATTTTTGCAGGCTTCCAACAGCTGAGAGCAAATTTTAATGGTGGTGGATAATAAATGTGTACTTGTTGAATAATCTTGCCTTCCTCTATGGTGAGTACAGGCGCTGTTTTTTTCAGATGCATTTTGAAGATCACCAGTTTTTGCTTTAGAATTTAGACATGGTTTTTGCTTTGTGTGTTTCCTTCTAAATCTTCAGTGGACCTGGGGATGGGGGAACCAAAAGATGATCATTGTAATGCTTCCTGGATGCATTTATGAAGAGCACAGTGGTCTAACACTGATTCTTTATTAAATGATGTGGGAGCGGGGAAAATGGTTCATGCCTAAAAACAGCAAAAGCATTTAAAACCTGTCATCAGTCATGATTGCACCTGACAAAACTGTTGTCTGATGACAGCATTGGATGTACCTGAATGAGGCAAAGGAACAGTGTTTAAACGTGAAAAACAGTAAGTCACTTTCACTAACCAGGTGAAACATTTTAAAGTGTCAAACAAGTTTACTTCTTCTTTATGTAAATCAGCTTTATAAAAAGCGTCTTACCCTGAGTTGTAGTTTGTATCTTTAAATCTCAGAAAATGAGTTCAGAATAGACATATGTAGTTTTACAGTCATAACAGGCTTCTGAAATGTAAAAGACAAAATAATTCAGTAAACTTAGGATACATATCCATAGAAACTCTTTAAAAATTCTATTTTAGTAGCTGGTAGTTGGGCCTGACAGAACCAAGCATTAACTGGTTTTTTTTCCTGGACTATATTCAATAATTTATTCTTGAAAATGGTTTAGAAGTGCACCTACATCCTCCTCTCTCGATTTTTTATATGATACTCTCCCCACCACACCCTTCCTTCCTCCCCACCCACTCATCTGATGAAATTTGTTAGGAGCCATGGTACCGGTTGCTATTGGTTTCTTGGGGTGTGCATATTGTCCCCAACCACCCCAACCTTGGGTTCCTAAAGCCTGGGAGTATGGTGGCCTCACAGAGACCACGGTCCCATTTTGATAGCGTCTCTTATCCCAAACTGTGGCTCACCCTGATCTCTTGGTGCCACCTGCCTGAACACAGGGGTGACATAATGTATCTCCTGGGAGTGTCCAGTCCCTGGGTAAAAGACAAGAAACAGAGTTATTGGGCCTGTAATCCAAATCTCTGATCACTTGAAGGCAGTGGCTTAGCCAGCTACCCTCACAATGGCCTATAGCCTCTGGGCTTTGCAGAGAGGACTTACCATCTTGGGCTACGGGAACAGACTGCTTTGGTTCTAAGCGTGGCACAGATTCCTCACCTGTAAAATGGGAATGGTATAAATTGGGATTAGTGGTGTTTGCACCAGACAGGGCAGATAAGTTGCTTAGCACTGTGCCTGGAACGTGGCCGGCGCTCAGTCGACACTGGCTGGGATTGTTCTCATTGTTGGCCAATGCCCTGGGTCTGTTTACCATAAAGCAGCAAATGATGCCAGCTTTAAGAGGTGATCATAAAAGAAATTAGAACACAGTGTGGATCATTCTGAACTGATAGAAAAAAAATCTCCAAGATATGTAATTAAGTGAAAAAAATCACGGTGTAGAATGGCATATCTATGACATGCTACCACTACTACCATTTATTTAGATGCTAACAAACACATGAAATGTCTGTAGAAGGATTTAAAAAACTGTTGCCCTTGGAAAGTGGGATTGGCAGTCAGGGGTGGGAGGGAAGCACTATACTCTGCTTCTTCAATTTTTTTACCCATATGTCTGTATGACCTTTAAAGAAAAAGAAAAACCTAAACCAACCAAAATACCCCAAAGAGTTCTCTCACCTGCTTGGTTTTCACAGATATTTGCGTATATTCCAGTTTCCATGGGTCTATTTCTGTAGTCTCTGGGTACATTGTCTTTCATAGCTTTTCCTACATAAATTGATGGAGAGTTATTAAATTAAATCAATTCAGCCACATTTTTTTCTCATCTCCTCTGCCAAAGAGCAGAATTCCCCAAAGATCTGAAAGAAAGAATGACCTGCTCCAGTGGCCTAAGCTATTGCCTGTTGAAAGAGAAACATAGGCTCAGCAAAGAGTCAATGTCATCTGCTTCTCTAAGGCAGGAGCCCTTCTGATTTATTTTCGCAGCACTGCACAATGACACCCTTTGCCTATCAGATTATGCTTGAGATGGTCAGAGACACATTTTCTTTCCTTCGCTGAAAAGAATAACCTATAAAAAAGCTGTGTATATCTGCAAGAGGTAGTAAATTACCCAGCTGAGTTCTGTTTAGCCCTGGCCAGTACTTAAGAATGTTGATTTCACTTTTTGTAAGACCCCAGGCTTTATGTAGGAAGAGGAGACAGGTTTTTAAAATGTATGAGATGCCATACATTTAAGAAGATTGAAATCATGTCATACATCTTTTCTGACCACAGCAGTATAAGACTAGAAATCAACTACAAGAAAAAAACTGGAAGAAAAAAAAAGACAAACACATGGAGGCTAAACAATATGCTACTAAACAATCAAAAAGTTACTGAAGACATTAAAGAGGGAATAAATACCTGGAGACACATGAAAATGGAAGCACAATGATCCAAAATCTAAGGGGCTCAGCAAAAGCAGTTCTAAGAGGGAATTTGCAATACAAGACTACCTCAGGAAATAAGGAAAATCACAAATACACAACCTAATCTTACATCTAAAGAAACTAGAAGAAAAAGAACAAACAAAGCCCAAAGTTAGTGGAAAGGAAAGGAATAATAAAGATCAGAGCAGAAATAAGTGAAATAGAGACAAAAAGTAAACAATAGAAAAGGTCAATGGAACTAAGAGCTGGTTCTATGAAAAAACAAACAAAATTAATAAACCTTTAGCTAGATTCAACAAGAAAAAAGAGGGCTCAAATAAAATCAGAAAAGAGAAAGAAGTTACCACTGACACCACAGAAATACGAAGGATCATTAAGAGATTACTACAAACAATTATATGCCAATAAAATAGACAACCTAGAAGAAATGGATAAATTCATAAAGATGTACAATCTCCCAAGGCTGAATCAAGAAGAAATAGAAAATATAAACAGACCAATTACCATTCAATATGAAATTGAATCAGTAATCAAAAAACTCCCAACAAAAGTCCAGGACCAGATGGCTTCACAGGTGAATTCTACAAAACACTGAAGAGGAAGGAATGCTTCCAAACTCATTCTTCGAGGCCAGCGTCACCCTGATATCAAAACCAGGTAAAGAAACCACAGAAAAAATTACAGGCAAATATTACTGATGAACATAGATGCAAAAACCCTCAACAAAATGTTAGCAAACCAAATTCAACAATACATTAAAAGGATCATACACCATGATCAAATGAGATTTATCCTAGGGATGCAAGGATGATTCAGTATCCACAAATCAATCAATGTGATAACACCACATTAACAAGTTGAATAAAAATCATATGATCATCTCAATAGATGCAAAAAAGCTTTTGACAAAATTCAGCACCCATTTATAATTAAAAAAAACCTCTCAACAATGTGGGTATAGAAGGAACGTACCTCAACATAATAAAGGCCACATATAACAAGCCCATGGCTAACATCATACTCAGTGGTGAAAAGGAGAAAGCATTTCCTTTAAAATCAGGAACAAGACAAGGATGCTCACTCTCACCACTTTTATTCAGCATAGTATTGGGAGTCCTAGTCACAGCAATCAGACAAGAAGAAGAAAAAAGGAATCCAAATTGGAACAAAAAATATAAAACTTGTCACTGTTTGCAGATGACATGATACTATATATAGAAAATCCTAAAAACACCACCTAAAGACTATTAGAACTAATAAATGAATTCAGTAAAGTTTCAGGATACAAAATTAATATGCAGAAATCTGTTGCATTTCTATACACCAATAATGAACTCTCAGAAACAGAAATGAAGAAAATGATCCCATTTGCAGTTGCACCAAAAAGAATAAAATACCTAGGAATAAATCTAACCAAGGAGGTAAAAGAACTGTACTTAGAAAACTGTAAGACACTAGTGAAAGGAGTTGAAGATGACACAAACAAATGGAAAGAAATATCATACCCATGGATTGGAAGAATTAATACTGTTAAAATGACCATATGCCCCAAGGTAATCCACAGGTTCAGTGCAATCTCTGTCAAATTATCAGTGGGATTTCTCACAGAATTAGGACAAATAATTCTACATTTTATATGGAAACACAAAAGAACTTGAATAGCCAAAACAATCCTGAGAAAGAAGAACAAAGCTGGAGGTATCATGCTCCCTCATTTCTAACTATACTACAAAGGTACAGTAATCAACACAGTATGGTACTGGCACAAAAACAGACACATAGATCAATGCAACAGGATAGAGGGCCCAGAAATGAATCCACACTTATCTGGTCAATTAATCTACAACAAAAGAGATAAGAATATATGATGGGGAAAAGACAGTCTCGTCAATAAATGGTGTTGGGAAAACTGGACATATGCAGAAGAATCAAACTGAACTACTTTCTCACACCATCTACAAAAATAAACTCAAAATGGATTTAAGACCTAAATGTAAGATCGGAAACCATAGAACACCTAAAAGAAAAATAGGAGTATGCCCCTTGACAGTGGTGTTATTGGAAACAAAAGCAAAAATAAACAAATGGAACTACATCAAACTTGCACAGTGAAGGAACCCATCAACAAAACAAAAGGCAGCCTACTGAATGGGATAAGATATTTACAAATGATATGTCTGGTAAGGGATTAATATCCAAAATGTACAAAGAACCTTATGCAACTGAACATCAAAAAAAAAAACAATTAAAAAACAGGCAGAGGACCTGTATAGACATTTTCTAAATAAGACACACAGATGGCCAACAGGCACATGAAAAGATGCTCAACATCACTAATCATCAGGGAAATGCAAATCAGAACCACAATGAGATATCTCCTCACACCAGTCAGAATGGTTACCATCAAAAAGATAAGAAATAACAAGTGCTGGCAAGGATGTGGAGGAAAGGAAACTCTCGTGCACTGTTGGTGGGAATGTAAATCGATGCTTCCAACTGTGTAATACAGTATGGAGGTTCCTCAAAAAAATTAAAAATATAATCCAGCAATTCCACTTCTGGGTATTTTTCTGAAGAAAACAAAAACACTAATTAAAAAGATACATGCACACCTATGTTCTTTGCAGCATTATTTACAACAGCCAAGCTATGGAAGCAATGAAAGTGTCCATCAACAGATGAATAAATAAAGAAGATGTGATATCTGTATACAATGGAATACTATTCAGCCATTAAAAAAGAATGAAATATTGCCATTTCCAGCAACATGCATGGACCTAGAGGGTATTATGCTAAGTGAAATAAATCAGACAGAAGAAGATAAGCACCATGTGATTTCATTTATATGTAGACTCTGAAAAAGAAAACAAATGAACAAACAGAAAACAGAAACAGGTTCATACATACAGAGAGCAAGCCAGTGATTGCCAGAGAGGAGGGGAATGGGTCTGAGGCGAGTGAAATAGGTGAGGGAGATTAAGAGATACAAACCTCAAGTTACAAAATAAATGAGTCACAGGGATGAAATGTACAGCCTGGGGTAGATAGTCAATAATACTGTAATATCTTTGTATGGTGACAGATGATAACTAGACTTATGGTGGTCACTTTGTAATAGAAATTTGAAGCACTGTTGTGCACCTGGAACTAACATAGTGTTGTAAGTTAACTTCATTTTAAAAATGCTTTATGTTACAAAAAAGTTTTGATGTATAAGATGTATACATTTTGACATCTATTTTTAGGTTTTCTGTCAATTGAGTCCCTGCCTTCTCTGAATTAGGACCCTCTAGAGATGGAAGAAGACCAAGAGCTGAACATTTATCACTTAGTTCTCTCCCCAGTTCTGACAGTATCTCCCCCACAGCCCCATTCTACAGGTCAGAACGCTAAGGCTCAAGCAGGGGAAGGAGCCCCCTTGGCTCATGCCCCTTGGCTCGCTGGCAGGTGCCGGTGCTGAGACCCCAGCTGTCTTTTGTGCAGACCTCAATATTCCTCCATACTTGTGTGCCAAATGTAAAGGCCACTTTGAAATCTTAACTAGGAGTCATAAGATGTGAATTGTGAAAAGTAGTAAATGGGACTTAATGCAGCACTTAAGGCAGGGCAGAAAGGAATGAAGCTCTTGTCTCTCTTCATGCACTGAGCTTCCCCCCAAGTGGCAGACCTGGTGAGGACGCTAAAAAATACAAAGCAAAGTTCTGGCCATCAGGACACATGCAGGCTTCGTGCAAAATGAAACTGTTTGGCCTCTTGTTAAAAAATTATTGAGATTTGTACACCCACGTTCAAAGCAGTACTAGTCACAATAGCCAAAAAGCAGAAGCAGCCCAAGAGTCCATTGATGGATGAATGGATAAATAAAGTGTGTGTGTGTATACATCCATACATGTGTGTGTATGAATGTGTACGTGTATAATGGAATATTATTCAGCTTTAAAAATGAAGGAAATTCTGACATATATACAACACTGATGAATCTTGAGGACATTGTGCTAAGTGAAA